TGTTTAATTTCTCGTTAAATTGTGCACATGTACGGAAAGAAAGGTACGAAAAGAAAGATATTAGTTTAGTGTGACGTCTATTTTCACTGAACTAGTACACAAATTTATTTAGGGGCCAGCTGAGGACCACCTCCGGGTGCGGGATTTTCTCGCTGCGTTGAAGACCCATTGGTGGCCGTCGGCTGTTGTCTGCTCTTTGGTCGGGTTGTTGTCTCTTTGACATATTCCCCATTTCCATTCTCAATTTTATTAACATGGAGATTGCAAGACTAGTCATTTTTAGCACCTCACTATTTGTATTTATGTGCATGGAACGAAAGAAATGGGTCATGTAAAAATGAAAGGACCCGGTTTTGTCTATGTTGTTTACAACATAAGGACCCGGTTTTGTCTTTGTATAGGAACCGGTTTTGTTTTGTTTTGAAACCACAAATTTATGAAAAGCAACGTTAACACGGATCTGAACATTGTCCGGCGAAGGAAATTCAATATATGAGTCATATATATGTTATTGTAAAACAAACCTGTCGTGTTAAAATTTATTTTAAACGGGAACTTTTCGAAATAGGGAGTACACATTTTTCGAATGCTATACGCATACCTGATTGTAATTATCTTCGAACTAAGTTTAAATGGAATATAAATACGTTATAGCACTTACTTTAATATTTTTATAACATTATGATATAAAAAAGGAGATGTGGTATGATTACCAATGAAACAACTATCCACCAAAGTTCAAGTGATGGGGATGTAAGCAATTATAGGCAACAGTACGGCCTTCAACAATAAGAAAAACACATACCGTATGATCGGCTATAAAAATCCCCGACATGAAAAATACGAAACAATTCAATTGAGAAAACTAACGGCCTAATTTATAACAAAACAATTTACTATAAACAAATATGATAGACATAAACCAACGACAACCACTGAACTACAGGCTCCTGACTTGGGACTTGCACATAAAGAATGTGGCGGGGTTAAACATGTGTGTGAGCGCTCAACCCTCCCCTAACCTGGGACAGTGGTGTAACAGCACAAAATAGGTACAAAGTATAAAAATCAGTTGAAAAAGGCTTAACTCATTCGATGACAGAGCCTGTAAAGTTAATGCGCGATTGGTACTCAAAGTTGGCGGATATCTCTATTTTCTCGTTTCTTATTAAATTTTATGATGTATACGATACAGTTATATTATATCAGTAGATGATCCAGGGAGTGTAGTGGGTGTACGCCCCCTCTCCCCGCCCCTTGATGGCCAGAAATAACTATATCATGGTTTTTTCACGATTTATATATAATTTTTTAGCATAAAATCGTCCAAAAAAAAAAAAAAAGATTCCCCTCGCTACGCTCGGCGGTATATAATCCGTTTTATGGAATTATGCCCCCTATTTAAAAAATATTCGATCCGCCTCTGCATATTGACAATTATAAACTTGACCAACGTCACTAAAATGTAGAACATTTGTCAATGTACGATAATCATTGCACAATGGATAGATAAAAGAACCGTTTATTTATAAATTTATTGATAAAATAATCATTACAGCATTTTCTGGATGGCCTGAGATTATCATGCTTGTTTATACTTAGTATAATAGTTACAAGGAGGCGTAAAAAGATTTTAAACGCATGATTATTGTGATCCTATGCGCAGCATGAAAATTAATTTTCTAGGGCGATTTTGCATACATTTACATTTGTCTTATTCTCTTGCTTTATAATGAACATTTAGTGTTCAGAATATTTATTTTTAAACGATCATACTGCCCTCTTCCCCCTAGGTAGAGTGGAATATTTATTAAGATAACCATCCCTTTGTCCAAGAAAATCACATATCAAATATGCGTCCTTCAATTTTCAAGGCCGTGCACTATCCAACTTTGAACACTTAAATTTACATAATTCATTTCAAAAACTCAAATTGCGTTACAACCTTCATTTCTTTGTATTTCGCCGTTAAAGTATTCGTTTTTATACAAAGCAAAATTAAAAAATATTTTTGTTCCAATAAAGCAGGAATTCAAGTGTTTACGGATTCAAATAAATAATAAGTTATCCTCTGAAAGACATCGTTTTCCAACGAGCCATCAAACTCCTGTTTAAATGCCGGATTCTAATTTACGTAATGCGATTATGCATTATTTTCTATGACAAAACCGGGTCCTGCTTTGTGAAATTTAAGGACGAAACCGGGTCGTACACATTGATAAAACCGGGTCCTTCCATTTTGACATTACCAATTTCTTTCATTCCATGCAGAGAAATACAAATAGTGAGGTGCTCAAAGTGACTAGTTCTGCAATCTCCATGTTAATATCTTTCTTTTCGTACCTTTCTTTCCGTACAATGTGCACAATTTAACGAGAAATCAAGCTTATTCGAGCGAAGCTTCGCCATTTTGATGTGCCTTTTTACTTATTTTTCCATTAATCTAGAAAGCTTGTAGAAAATATTACATCTCACAATCGAAAATAGTTATATGTGTATGCATATTCTTCAATATCATAAAAATAACAAATAAATAAACAGAAATCCTACTTTTTCTCTGTCTGTTGATGGTCCGTCACCGTACCGGATATTAGATACTACTAAGTCCAAACATTTTTTGCCGGGGTAGTTTAGACACAGTGAATCCTGTAAGTGAAATTAAACTTCTATAATAGAATAGAAAAATAAAGGATATGGGGTATCCATCCATGACACAAAATCAGTAAATGCACAGCAAAAAACACAAAAAAAAGCAAAGGAACAGCGCTTTTATTGCTGTTCTTCATCTCAAAGTCACAGTTAGGCCTTCAACACGGAGCAAAAAAACTCTCACCTCACTGAAAGTTTAAAATTAAGAGAATGATGTGGCACACATAAAAAAAATTTTCTCAAGAATAAATACACCCAGGAACATATATATTGACATACTGTTCCCAGATGCACCATAACTTTAAAAATACAGAAGAACATACATATCAAGCACGGGGAAACTTTCTACGGCCTCCACACAGCACGAGAGACAAACTCCGTTAATTAAGTATAATAGAAAAACAAAGGATATGGGGTGTCCATCCATTACACAAATCAGTACATGCACAGCAAAAAACACACAAAAAGCAAAGGAACAGTGCGTTAATTGTCCATATATTTGTGAACAATTTATTACATCGATGTCCTTGGCAAAATTATGTGTTTTGTTTTTCGTTTCATAATGAAATTTAAAATATATAACGCATTTTAACTTCAGAAATTGAACTGTCTTGATATCCTTAAAGATTATGGACAGAATTTATTAAGAATCTTTTTTCTTGTATTAGTTTATAAATTGAATTTCTTACAACTTGTTTTCTGTGATTTATGAATCTCCAATGGTTTTAGCGAATATCACTTATCCTATTGTCGCATTCTAATAAAATAAAGGACGGTTTCAAATGGATTCAGGGGACTCCCTACATAACCGTATCATATTATTAAAGTTGACAAGCAAAAAACATTTATTGTTGAACAGTTTGGAAATATGCCATGATTATTCAATAAAAGGTGCATTAAGATAATTCGTAAACAGCAAAAAATGACAAAACCATTACAAGTTCATCATGTTACGCATGGTTTTATTGATTATTTATTTTTCTTAGACAAATGTCTTAAATATTTTGCTGTCGTTAAATCTTGAGAACGAAACAATAGATAAAAACTTTCCATGTACTTCGAATATTTTTTGTATTATCCATACACATTTCTATTCTGTATACAAGGTTATATCCAATAAATTACATTACATGTATGTTTCATTAAAATTCGTACTTTCCAATGGCTGATAACAATCGCGACATATTCGAATTTCAATTTGTATTTCTCAATAAAAATTCAACATTCAAGACAGCTCGTGTTTCGCATGACAACGTGAAAACAATGCATAGGAAAACAAACGAAAAAATTGCAATAATTTCATGGTTGTAGCATAAAAAATCTAATTATAAGAATTGAATGCTTTTTGTAATTTTAGAGTGTTATAAAAACGTTGATCGTGTGCACATTTTTAATATGAAGCTCTTCTTTCGAGCTTAATACAAAATGTGTTTCGGTCAACATACTTACATCCTTAATAAAGTTTACAAAAAGAAGCATTCAATTCTTAAATGCATTAATTAAGCTTTAAGCCACATGTATATATCTAAATTAAATTTAAATATTTTATAGGAAATAATAAGAACATGTGCATGTGCGGTTTTAATTGCTTTAGTTGCGAATATTATTAGATCCAATCAATTTTAGTTTTCAGCCTCCTGCTATATAGTCTATATACCTGCAGTGGATATACACAAATACATTCTTTACTCATCGTTTCATTCAGAATTGATGTTTAGCTAAATGAGAAAAGCTTACAACAGTAAGTCTGCAGTTAGTACAACGAAGGAAATCTGAGATATATTCGACAAATTGTCGTTTACCAGAACATCAGAAGAAACTTACAGCATTAGAATTAACGAACCAGAGCTGCAATTACGTGATGCAGAATTTTTCATGATTTACGGAAGATTGACATTATTTTATGGGTTAAAATCAAACAATCAACGGAAGGAAAATACCAGACCAATACCCTTGTAAGAATTTTATGCATCTTTTAAAGTATTTTTAATAGCAGACAAGCTGTTTAATAGTCAGTCATGATTACATGTTTAGCCGTGTCAGCTAATTAAACTGCACTACAGATTAACGATCGTGTTTTGTTACAGTCTTTACAATATGAAATCTGAATAGGAACACCTTCTCATTTAATGAATGGAGAATTTATGGAGATAATTTGGTTACTTTCTGTGAAGGTCAGTCCATGCACCTTGTTATTAGTATCTAAGGATTAATAATAATATTATCAAATATACATAATATTAACCAGAGACGGAGCCAGCAACCTCAGCAAACCCGCACATCAAACGAATAAAAAATTAACATTTGATTTATATTTTCCGTTTGTTTGAAACATTAACTTATTCATATATTGTATCATTTGATTCGTTAATTTATGTTTTAGATGTATGGCACGTGCTGTGGATGTAATGACTGTATCTCCTTATCTTTGGTATCTACCAATAAAATATCTAAGGTTGCTCCAGGGGAACATTTGATTCCTACGGAGAAAACAGATACCAGTGATCGCGTGTCGAGTGTTGATAAAACCACTTAGGTTTACAATTGCAGATTTCTATTCGTTTATACCTTAGGCTGCTAAAATAACAAACGTGGAAGAATTTGTTGAAATATTCAATATACTGATTTTTCTCACTGACAGGTCAGTTAAATGCTTTCCTATGTAGTCTAATTTATCTGTAGACATTAGCAGTTAGTACACACAGAGAACGATTTCTTAACTTGGTATTATAAAAAAAAATACGTTTGCATTCTTAACAAAAGGCAACAAAATCAGAATGGAATTTAATAATACAGCGGAAAACAGACACTGTTCTAATTGCAGTTTGGATAATGAAAGATTTATGTTCCAAATATCTGCCTTTCCTAAAGACCTAGCTTTCCCTATCTATGGAGTTCTCTGCCCGATCGTGACCATTCTAACACTGGTAACTAACATTCTTGTAGTTTGTGTGTTTATGAAACGTCGGATGCGATCAGTTACTACAGTGTTTTTGGTTGGACTAGCAGTTTCAGATACCCTTGGCGCATTTCTATGGAGTTGCGTCCATTTATTTTTTTACGGAATAAGACAAAAACCGTATACCGAACCGATATCATACCCGATATGTGTGTTCCATGATTATGGATTGTATATTGCAGTGATTCTTCACACCATTTCAGTATGGTTGACAATGACCTTAGGAATTCAGCGTTGTATCATAGTTGTATTTCCTTTCAAAGGACCTCGAATTTGGACCATGAAAAACTCAGTGATCATGACAACAATGTCATACCTCATCGCTGTTGTTTTCTTTGTATTCTTATTTTTCATGAAAGATTACTCAGTGAAAGAAATGGCTGATGGTTCTCAGATTTGCATGGAACGCTACGCCGACTGGTTTAATCGGAACATTTCTACATATATGAGTATTTATCACGTGTTAAGAAGTGTTGCAGTCCAGTTGCTTCCATGTTTGTCTATGATGGTAAGCACCGCTGTTTTGGCTCATAAACTCAGGAACGAGAAAATTTTCCAAAGAGGAATGTCTAAAAAAATCGGAGTCGGACAAAAAAAAGATTACCAGCACCGACACCGTACAACTTTAATGGTTGTCATCATCATGATTATATTTCTCATTGTTGAAGTTCCGAATGGAATAGTATTTGCAATAAAGATTTACGATCCCGACAATACAATAATGCCAACAAGTATTGACTATCCATTTGCAATTCTTCATAATTTTATATTATTGCTTAGTTATCATTGTAATTTTTGGATATACGTTGGACTTAGCGCTCGATTTAGAAGGACCTTGAAAGATATGCTTCTTGGGTCAAGAGTAAAGCGAACATTCGAGCGAGTGATGTCCATGTCGCGGACTGATTCCTTCTCACATCAAGGATATCCTCTATCAAACATCAAAAACAGGCATATAAATGGCAACGGATCAACTATAGTTAAATATACAAGTGTTTGTTCGGAGGGCTTCAACCAAACGCACTAAAAACCGGCACATATTGCGGTATCTTGTTTGAAAACAAACTATCAAGTCACAAGACTCGGTCTAATGATATAAGGATTGGAAGGAAGTGTGCATGAAAGTCTTCGTGTGGTGGCAGTCATGACTTTAGTTTTTTTTTCTTTGATAACCTATAAGCTTACTGCGGATATTTTTATGTCATAAATTTCTGATCAAATAAATCAATGGTAAGTCTGTTTATGCAATTTCCATTCCCCGTAGATTAACTTTCGCGTTTGATAAATAAACAAGATAAAAAATCTCCCCTTAAATACAAACTAAAAGCAAGATAAAGCGTGAAAGGTTTTGGCAGGGATTTTTTTTGGAGGGAAATCAAAAGTAAAATTATTTATCACAGAACTGATCAAACTTTTAAGTAATCAAAAGTAATCAAAGTAATCAATATTTGTCAATCTTATCGAACATTATTTATCTTCTCTATACATATAGCATACAATGTAAATAATCACAACATCAGTTTATCCTGTAAAAACTGTAACACAAACATCGTATTCGAGCCCACCTACTTATACACTCTTCTAATAAAAAAAAGAGAATTTTCCGCAATACGATTTCTGTTAGTTAAGCAGCGATCTGCATAATGATCTGACATCAATTTGGAAAATTAAATTACAAAATGAATCTGTTATTGTGTAGACAGATTCAGAATGTTGCATTAATTTGTGCCAATAAATTCATTTGATATATGTTATTTTAAGAATCGTTTTCCTTTTAAACAGTTGCAATATGTAAGGTAAAAAGTGAAAAAGAGAGGAAAAAAAGGTTAAAGCTAGGCTCTATTCAATTGGTAAATTACCAAGTTACACGATTTAATACTGACCAATAATTGCCTGTGGATAACTATAAGCATTTAAAGAAATATGACAAGACAAGACAAGACAATACTTTATTTAAGTATCACCTCTTCATTTCATAAAACATACAAATAGTTAATAAAACATAAACATAAAACATACAAGAGCCACTCTAAAAAGAGTTATGAGAGACTATTTAAAATGTACATACATTATGTACACTTAAATTTGCAATATAAAATACATCTTCTTTTCCATAAAATGTCATTGCAGATTTTGGCAGTATAAAAGTGCATATTTTCATCTGTAAATAAAATATAAATCTATCGTCATCAGACAAATGCATAAAATTAACATTATATAGAGATGCTTGATAAAACAAATAACAACGCAAATATTTGTTATAAACATTTTGTTTAGGGGCCAGCTGAAGCTCGCCTCCTCGTGCGGGATTTTCTCGCTGTGTTGAATAAACATTGGTGGCCTTGGGCTGTTTTCTGCTCTTTGGTCGGGTTGTTGTCTCTTAGACACATTCCTCTTTTCCATTCTCAATTGTATATATGATAATTTCAATTTCACACCTTGCTGATTCTATTTAAAGAATTATCAGCATTACATTCAGTTTTCTGGATATTTTTTTACTCTTTTCGAACAAAAGAATAATATTACAATCGTAATAAGGGAATAATCTAGTAATAATTCATCTTTTGTTAATTATAAACATTCATTATATAAATTTATAGTAATTATCTATGCATAAAAAAAGTATTAACAAACATACCGAAATTGACTGTCTTGTTAAGGAAATATTATTTTACTCTTATGTGATATCAGGTGCTCCGAAAGGGTAAAGTAATCATATGGTCACCGACTTCTTTTTTGCTTTAACCAATCTTCTACGTAGTTTGTAGTAGTAGTAAAGAAAAACGTCAAAAATCGACGTTTTACGGCTTACAACGCGATGATGTTACGCTTATTTTTGACGACTTGTTGTATTTTTTCACATAAAACACCAATTTGAATAATGTTTACCGTAAAAACGAAGTCGGTGACCCAATGATTTCTTCTCATCATTAAAATGGAAATTTATGTATCAATAACATATAATTTTTTAAAAATTTAAGAACTTTTTTCACTTATTTTATGTGCTTTCTGTACAAATTTTCACCTGTTTTGAAAAAATTCAATCAGTATTATTTCAGAAAATAAAATAAATGCATTATCTTTTGATTTTCAGTTATAGTTCAACGAACAACAGTTGTATGCAAAATTTTATCAAAATCTGAAACATAGACTATTTCCTCTACCTTGACCTTAAAGTATTACTATTTCCATATAGGAGCCGCAACCCTAGTCAAACTTTCCCGCCAAACTCCTATCGTAATTTATTTTCTTTGTAACGTTTGAAATGCTTTATTGTTAAATGTCAACACGCCTGTGATATTTGAAAACACCAGTAGTCATTCAATCATCAATTCGAAAAGGTACGCCTCCTAGCTGTTAAAAAAGAATGGCGCATTTACATAATTTTTATATGTTAAAATTTTTATTTCAGATTGCTCTTTCAAGGCTAAAATCTCATTTAAGTGATTGAAAAACCCTTGTTTTCCTTTGAGAACTGATAAAACGTAGTGCGCAGGACGCATTTTTCTTTTACAACTTTCTTCAGACTAAATAATTTGAGAGTTACAATGTAAATACAAGTCCGCTCATCCTTTAAATCTATATGCAAAACAAATCGTCGTTGGAAGGTGCGCAGACTTACAACATTTGAAAATGTCGCTTGTCAATCAACAAACAAGTGAAAACATTGCTATTTCTAGAGAAGACATTGGAAGACAGTTAAAATAACTAAGCATTTCAAATAATAAAACAGAACAAGACAATCGAACTAAAATTAAAATCAGCTATATAGACATTGATAGCTTTCTCTGATGGAAAAAATGATACAAACATTATTGTACAAAAAAGACAATAAAAAGACACATCAACGTAACAAGGGTAACTAGAATAGGCTTCCGTAGTGGGGAAAGATACCAAGAACAATAAAAATCAGACAATACAATGGCAAAAAGAAAAAGGACAAACAGAACACCACACAATCTAGACAACCGTATTAGTCGGTATTGTATAGTGAACGTCTTTTACATTTCCATTTTATTCATATCTTTTACTGTGTGGTTTTCTCTCCATTTTTAACGTTTAGAACGTCGCTTATTTAATCCATACAAACAAATTTTCATAGCACAGGAGATACGCTATACTTACTTTATTAAAGATAGACATAATCAGACGGCAAAAAGGATGAGATACCAATAATTTACTGTTATTTGAAAGATTATGTAATTGAAAGGCTTTTTAATCATTCTAGGGACAATATTGGCCATATCATATCTTTTCTTTAATCCTAATACCATGAGATAAAAGAAGTTAGTGTTGTATAATTCCGACTTCAATTTTTTATCTTTACTGATATAGAAACAATTTTTATACTAATATTGATTCAGAAGTGTGGTCGACTTATAAATTGTATCAAACATATAGGGGTAATAAAGTAACTAGATATATAACATATTGAAGACTGAAAAGAAATTATCAAAAAAGTATTAACAAAAATAATGAACTCCAAGGAAAATTCCAAAAGGAGAAGTCCATAAAATCTGACAAAATAAAACGGTAGAATATATCAACCAACGGAATGAATGGAAAACAAGTCATATTCCTGACTTAATACAGACATTTTCCGAAGAAAATGGTGGGTGAAACCTGGTTTTATAGCTAGCCAAGCCTCCAGTTTGTAGGACTGTTGTTTATAGTTCCGTTATATTAACAAAATTGAGTGAGCAACCCAAACAGACATACATTTTTTGTTGATTTCTATGTTGTAATGTTACACTACTGTTTCAGGTTAGGGTGAAGGTTGGTGCCTGTTAAAACGTTTAAACCCGCTGCATTTGTTTGCACTTGTCGTAAGTCAGGAGCCTGTTGTTCAGTGGTTGTCGTTTGTTGATGTGGTTCATAAGTGTTTCTCGTTTCTCTTTTTTTATATAGATTAGAACGTTGGTTTTCCTGTTTGAATTGTTTTAAACTAGTCATTTTGGGGTTCTTTATTGCTTGCTGTTCGGTGTGAACCAAGGCTCCGTGTTGAAGGCCGTACTTTGACCTATAATTGTTTACTTTTTACACATTGTGACTTGGATGGAGAGTTGTCTCATTGACACTCATACCACATCATCTTATTTCTCTATAATTGGTAAATGTGACATGTGTAGCATATATCACAGACATACAACACAACTGACTAAAATATTCAACCAAACATACAAATAAATCTGACAAAGACGTCAACAAAAAAGAAATTGTAGTTGGAGGTAAATTTGACAAAGACGACAACAAAAAATGTCTTTTCAGTTGATAGTACATACAGTTTATCAAAACATAACTCCGTACTAGTTTACACTGTCTCAAATCAAGTAAAATATATATAGAAGAGTAAACTAAATGAAAACAGCACTGTGAAAACCTCTTGCATCCGAATCATACTTGTGGACCCTGGGCCAGCACTAGAAACGCGCAAAACCAAAAACCCGATAGCTGGATGTACAAATACCGAGTCTAGTCAAACAAACGGAAAATAATAGTTCAAAGAAAAATAAAGGGAAAACTGTAAAGTAAATAAAACGATACACAACTTCAGCACCTACAATCTATAACTCAAGACCATCTTGTATTATTTGTCAAGTAGACACTGAATATTCATCTATAAGTTCTTGGTACTTTCTGATGAACTTTTTGAATTTCTTAGTTCTGTTCCTTTACTCTTTTCCGACTACGTATTCAATATATCACTGTGTTATTGTTGCTGTTTTTGCTTTAGCACTGGGAGTATCTATATCGAAACATATGTTTAACATGAACGGTTGGAACTGTAGGGCTATGTTAAAAATATGTTTCGATGTACCATATAAAATAAGGGGATGTGGTATGATTTCCAATGAGACAACTATCCACCGAAATTCAAATGAAGTGGATGCAAGCAATATGCTATAGAAAAGACATAAAAAATAAAAGACAATAAAAAAACACGTTAATACAAGACGTTAATACTCATCTACTGAGAATAATATAAACCATAGATTTGTTAAGATATTTGTGTATATAGAAGGATACACGCATTCTGCTTTACATTGAGTATATAAGTATATATAACCGCATAGAAGTACGTCCATTATTCATTTATACAAGTTATTTACGGAAAATTCCATAGGTGTACTACCTTTCTAATCTGATATTTAAACATATAAAAATTTACTTTCTGCTCAATGCCATTATCTACAATCAAGTACTGTATTAACAAAATAGAATAGAGAATGTTAACAAGG